CTAAATGTAAAAACTGTGGAAATGAGCATGAACAATTAAATATACAATATTGACCAATGCCAATAAATTAGAAAAACACAAAACACTAATATCAGAGAAATATAATTGCACATACTTTATAAGAACTACAGAATGCAAAATGGAGATGTTTATTTATTTGGTTAAAAAAGTATACCAAAAAGTTTATCAGCACAAATGCAGAATTATACGTTTTTATTTACATTGTCGTTGGGGTCCAAAACCGTTGGCTTCTCTCAGTAAAACATCTACTATATAAGGGTGGCTTTGATTTAGACCGGTTACCGATACTGCTCTCATCCTCCAACAAGCCTACAGCGTTAATTATTTAGGATAACCTGAACCTAACCCTGAGAGTGTTTGCCATTAATTGCTAGAGGACACGAGTGTCAGGTTACACTGGTTTGTCGAAGCATGTGACATTATTTAGCACTCACTAGATTTCACTGGTTTCCCAAGCAGCATAGCACAGCACTCTAGTAATAAACTTCATCATACTACCAGGCTGTTCAGCTGCAGCACTGTGCAAACACAGTCAGTACACAGTCATATAACTTTCTCTAGAATGGATACTGTAAATATGCCAGTCATTTGAAACATGAATAATTACTATGCTGATTTATTAGGGCCATTCTGCTTTTGTAATAGGAAATAATGAAGTACTTATTATGTCTGCTTATCAAAATGTGTCAGCTGGAACTTCACTGATACCTAGATGTGAATGTGAATTCTCATAACATTTTTGAGAACATTTTTTAAAAAGATTAACCACCATTCAGTGCAAGCGTGAGAGGAATAGAACACAAAATTATTACTTTTTGACCATAATCCAAACTCTAAATAAGCCAAGAATAAACTGTACAGTGGATGCTGAATATTTAGCTTCGCCATCACAGGAATAAATTATATTTTAAATTAAAATAGAAAACATTTATTTTAATTAACTGTATTTTAAACAAATAAATGCATCCTTGATCTTGCCAAAAATCTTACGAACCCCAAACTTTTGAATGATAGTGAAATGCACTAATAATTGGTGTAGTAGATAAAAGCACTCAATACATTAACGTTTGAAAATGTAGGCTATACATTAAATATGAAGAAAGCAGTAACATCGTACTATGATCGAGATATCCTGGTAATATCACCAGCTAGACATTTTAAAACAGACCCAACAACTTTATGGGTCTCAATATTGCATGAAGATATGATATCGCAAGAAGCTGGAGACTGAGAATTACACAAAAGCAGAGAAAGATCTACTCACAAAGTCATCGCCAGAATCTGCGCCCACAGAAGTGATGGACTCTTTGCTCATGGAGCGAGGGATGCGGCCTGATCGAGGGGCAGTGGCGGCCTCCTCCGCCAGCTTCTTCTTCAACTTTGCGAACATCTCTGTAGTGTAGATGTAGCGTTTAGCTGTGTGTGTGTAAAGCAATGATTTGAACGTCTCCCCAACTGTCAACGAGACACTTCAGGGTCCTCGGAAAGCAGAACGGCTTATATTCACAGCGTAAGCAGATCTCATTCTGGTGTTACTCTCTGCTGCCTTGACTCTGTGGAAAATTACAACATTAGGACTACATTAACATCTAGTGGTCAAATCCAATCAAACAAGGCTTTTAACCATCAGATACTTTTCTGAATGAAATGAGTTTGCTGTGCTGCCAACCTGCATGCTAAGAGTGAACTGCTTAGTACATCTTGTGTACATCTGTACCTGTTTATATAGTTAGTGGAGGTGACATATCAAAATAGTACTACACTTACATTATTGATACTCAAGTTCAGAATTATTTAAAGCAGATGAGTTGTTTTTAAGCAAGACATGGACAATACTGTAAAATTAAATATTAATATCGCCCTAAATTCTTATGCGTTTTTATGTTTTAGAATAGACTGAATGTGCCAAGAGACTCAATGTTTACATGGCTTGATATGCTACACTGTAGTAAGTGTCAGATTTGATTATGACACGTAAGCTTGATGGCAGAACCATTCATCCATCACATGCTGACAGTGTATGACAACATCCACCCCAAAGCTCTCGATAAAAAGCCCAGAGCCGAGCAATAACAGAAAAAAAAATTGTAAACACAGCTAGCTAATGTTAGCTCTCGTCCATCTCCTTTACTAAACCAACAAAACAGACGAGCGTAAACCTACCGTAAAAACTCCATAGACTCTGACAGAGCTGAGGTTCATTGTAACAGAAATCACGTTTAACGCTAATATCTCTCCAGGCGTTACATCTGTGTGTGTTGTTTTTGTCGCGGCTAGCACCTGGCTACTAACTTCACACGTAATCTTCAGTCACCAGATTCCTGATGACGTTCCAGGAACAACTTGGCGATTGTGCTCGTCGCTGATTGGGCGACAACAGGATGCAGGCGTGGCTACAGGTTCATACTCACAAATGGTCACAGTATTAGTACCGCATTGATAAATTAGACGCATACTATTTTTAAAATGTATGTTGTCATAATAATATGTTTACATTTATATGATATTAAAATAATCATTATTGATTGGATATTAGATTTTACTTTCGCATGTATTCTAATGTTGGAAGGATTTTTCCCCCGCAAAAAATTTGGCTACTTAAAAGCAACTCCTGAATAATAGCTTGCTATTTTGTTTCTTACTAAATATAAATCTGAACATGAGCTTTCACTACGTAATTACATACATAGATAGGCTACTATTTGTAGGTAAAATAATTAATGCAAACTCACCTTTAATATAAAATGTCTGGAATAGCCAGTTAATGCACCTATATGGATTTTCAGGTTGAAATGTCTCTTATACTAAGGAATATATTACAATTAAAAAATGAAAATATAATGTTATAATAAATATAATAAATATAATTTATAAATTGGGAATATTAAAAAAAAAAAAACAAGAAGAAAATAATTCTACATTTATATTTAAAAAAAAATGACAATCTCTAAGGGCTGATAAAAATTTTTTTGGACATTTTAGAGGGATAGTTCACCTCCCATTCTTCATAACAAAATACAAATTAAAAAGAAAAGAAAATTCTGTCATTTACTCAGCCACCCTCCCAGCCATTAATTTCAATTATATTTTCCCCTTACTATGAAAGTCTGTGCATGGCTACCATGAACAGTTTGGTGACCAACATTCTTCAAAATATCTTCTGTTGTGCTCAACAGAAGAAAGACACTCATACAGGTTTGGAACATCTTGAGGATGAGTGAAAGATGACAGGATTTTCATTTCATTTTTGAGTGAACTATCGCTTTATGGTTGCCTCCATGCACAGTCCTACTGAGTAGGCCTACATGCCCTTTAAGATGATTCTCATATGGGTTGTGTAATCACCTCCAACATAGCCATCATATATTGTCATTTGTTGGCAAGACCTGCATGTTACACATCGGTATTCTGAGAAACAGCACTGTCCTTTGGCAATGTCTGTTAATATTGTGCATAATTTGCAATGCCATTTGGGACTCTTTTAATTGGTTTATTATAATAACCACAACCTGAAAGCAATTAAAAGTAATTTTGATAAAGGACAAAAGTACACTCCTACACATTCATAACTCGTTTGGAGAATCACTTTGAAGACCTATATATTAATGTGGCTAACTTAGTCAGTGCTAAATATACATCCACTGCTCTAACATTTAAAGGGAGAAAAGGATCAAATAGATGAGCCTATAACAACACATTCCGTAACAATGTTATTTCTATAAATATTTACATTGTCTGTACTGTAGTCACCTGCCTCCTTTTGTTTTGTCATCTACCTTTTTTTTTCTTTGTTACAACATTTAGAAGAATATCAAAATATTGCCCATATCAAAAGCAATTTCTGGTTATCATTATTCTGTGTCTCCACCTGTACGTTGTCACAGCTCACTGCCCTGAGCCCCAGGTGCTCGTCCACACATCCATGAGATGTCCATATGGATGTTGGCCTTTACCTTGATGAGGTCTCAAAACAGTAGGAATGTGGGTGAAGCGTAAAAGAGGCTCTGTTGTAGGACTATAAAATCTTGGCAATAATTTTTTTTTATTTTTTAATTGTGTATGTTTTTTACATTGCAATCATTCTGTCAGGTTTTAGATACTGCATGTAGCAGCAAATCCATTTCACTAATTTATTTATTATCTTTAAAATAAAAGAGCAAAACATTTTCAGTATTTATACACAAATGCTAAATTGAGAAGGGTAGTACATTTATGCAAAAGAAAAAAACATGCATAGTCAATTATTAAATTGCAACTATTACTGTAATTTGAAGAGGTTTCTGTTATTGAAAGCTATTTTACAGTCTTGCTAATATTGATGGCTCAGGATAGTATCACAATCCCACCACAGGAAATCTGCAAAATTGTTCCTCATTCTTTTGCACAACCAGAAGATGGTGCTGCTGATGATAATAACCTATACTACGCAGAAAATCAACCCAGAGCTCCAAATACCACCACAAACAACAAATTAATAAACAAACAAACAAATAAATGCAAAAAATGCAACAAAAAACAAAAAAACAAAAAAAAAAAATTTATTTATTTTTAATAACATAAACACCAACATATAGATTCAAACTATTTATATAAAAATAACAATAAAATAGAATAAAATTATTAAACTAGTCGTTGTTCAGTGTAGCGCATATAAAAATCCTGTTAGACTACCTTTAGTTCGCCTATGATGCAATAATACATGACTAATTGCTCACAGAGAAACAGAATGAAGTAGCATTGTATGATGTTGTTGTTTTGAAAGTCCTTAAATATTTTAAAACGTGTTTTCTTATTTTTATCCACGGTTGATTCAACAATAGGCTATAAAGTGAAAATATTATACTGCATGAACCAGCCAGCGAGGTTTCGATGCGCCTGAATTTAACCAATCAGACGCCTCACCGTCTGTCAAGCGCAGAGAAAAAACACACATCTCACCACAGCGGTTGTCTCGTCCTGCATTCTGATTGGCCAGTGACTGTGCCACTCCATTGCGCTTCGCTACTACTACAGGTCGGTGCGGATCAAACACCTTGCAGTCGGTTCAGAGCCATTGAGAAAAAGGGGGTCTCTCTCGCATATGGTGGAGTAGGCTACATCGGGGGGCCTTGGAAACCACCTGGTTTGGAATAACCCGATGGAAATTGGAGGACGGGGGCCTTGCGAAGTCCGTCTCGAGGAGGTTTTCATGGAGCGTTGAGATTATTATTATGTGGTGGCTTGCCTTAATGATGTTTACATCTCCGGCTTTTCCATTCATCGTGTTTGTGTGCATGGGGTTATCCGAGGCGGTTCATTCCTACGATGCGCTGCCTTTAGTAATAAGGAAATCTCGTTCAATCGCCGAAGAGCATCCTAATACGAGCGCGAACGGGGTTCCAGGGTACCGGCTCGGTATTGTCGCATTAACACCAGCGCCCACGATCGCGTCCGCCAGAAAACCGATAAATGTCGCCGCACCAGCAGCCACCATTAAACCACCAACAGCGGAGCCCACCACCCCATCCCTGTCTAATCCCAGCTACATGGCCGCATTTGCTCGGAGGAAGCTCTGCTCTGTTGAAACACATATGAAAGAATCGCAGATGTCTGATAATAAAGCGGAAAGATCGGGCGTCGTGCCCGACTTTAGCAAAACATCTGACAATTCTCAAGGTGAGTTAAAATGGGAAATAGCGGAATACTGAAATATAGAAATCACATTTCTGGCAACAGACATGCTATTTAAAATCAGAATATTGTTGCTGTTTAGCCTATCTAATCAGTTATATGCGATTATCAGTACTTTCCTGCCTTCTGCTTCGTGATCTTGTCATTTTAATCTCGTACTGTACCAAAAACATCATTCCTACAGTCCGCCGTCTGCCTCTCAGCAATCACTTCATTAGCAGTCATAGCCATGCAACATGATATATTGATGAGGTATGATCAATAGCACGTATACCCTCACTCTACCGGTATCTATCTATCTGTCTGTCTGTCTCTCTGTCTAATGTCTATATGTCTGTCTGTCTGTCTGTCTGTCTGTCTACAGATTGTAATGTATTGTAAGTATTGTAATGTGCCCATACAGGCCCTTCATTGATTGAGCTGCATGGTATTTGTCCTAACTAGTCAGTTGTTTATCTGTCCTGACTTTACCCCATCAGTACAAACAGATTCACGACCTGTGGGCTGTGTCAGTTAAAGGAAATCATCAACCAGTATTTTTCTGGTATATCCAGCTGAGATTATTTCTGTTAGAATGGTTTAATTAATGTGTTGCTAGTAGGAAATAAAGGCCACAGATTATCCATTGTGTGTATGTGTTAAAGAACAAGGTCACACTGTTAATGAGAGTGAGGTCGACATAAATCTTGCATTTACATGAAATGGTCGTCTGGGTGCACCAGTTGTTCATATGGAAGTATCTATAGACTTGGCCTACTTTTCTATAACAAAACCAACAGTTATCACCAGTGCACTGACATAGGGGCCACTGACCCCAGTGATTTTGCACTGCATAGGTTTAGATGTTTGCACACGTTTATCTTGAAAAAAAAACAATAAAACATATATCTAAAAAATAAACAAGCAGCTACAGATGTTTAACCCTTCTGTGCCCTGCCATTGTGATTGGACATTCCACAGCCATTGTTCCTGATGCTGAGGTTATAATCGGGAGACAGTGTTCAGAAAAGCATGGACTGTGTCTAAGCCTGCCTTTATTAGGACACAGGAAGTGTTAGGGGAGCCCTTTAGATAACATCCTAAGGGCAAGAGAAAGTGGGCTAGAAATCAAGAATAGCAACTATATGGAAATATACTTCCATTTAGATTGATATTCTTCAGTATAATACAGGCATCTTGTAAAAAAGTGTCTATAATGTCCAGAAGACATTTTTTTTTATTGTGAAGAGACCAGGGTTGGGCAAATTCAGAATTTAAGAATTGACTCTCTTTACATTCATGAGTTTTAAAAAGAATTGGCCACATCCATCTGCAAACTGAATGTTGCACTGGAATTTGAATTAGATGACATTTTGTTGGTGTTAGACTTGTGCAATTTTTGAATGTCAGAATATATATATATATACAGAGTTCTGGCATGAAACTCTAGATGGCGCAGTCCGATAGGTCTAACTCAATCTGACCTAATGACATCATGATCACATTGCACAGCTGAATGGTTATTTCCTGTATCGGTAGCGAATGAGCTCGCTGCTCAACATTCAAATATATGACTAGTGCTTGCCGTAGCAGTTGCAGCTTGCTTCAGAAACCCTCCACCTTCCCAGCTCCACCTGTATAGATCTGCAATGTGGTGATATTATGTATGCTCTATTGGGGTTATTCATATGTGTTATATGTGCAGCAGCAGTATTTCTTACATGTTCACAGCAGCATGTTGTGGATGTATTGGCAGTAGCAAGTCTCGGTACTTGCTCTGCCACAGCAGCAGCAGCGTAGCAGATCCATTCCGCCAAGACCAAATACATTAACATTGTCATGTACATTACCATGCCAATCCCTCCAAGAGTTGTCATGACAGAAATATATATACATATATATATATATATATATATATATATATATGTTATTAATTATTTATTTAATTTATCTTTAATTTTCATGTTTAATTATACATTTCATTTTATTCCATATTAATTTGACTTTCTTAAAATTACTATTCAGTTTGATACATAAATTCAAATTCAAGAATTAATGTAGAATTTTAAAAGGCATTCCTAAAAAGGCGATTAAATTCTGAATGGTGTACATCTCTACACTGTAAAATATGACCGTGAATTTAACGGTAAAAGACTGTAAAAATGCTACAGTAAAAACCTGAACTCTAGATGGCGCAGTCCGATAGGTCTAACTCAATCTGACCTAATGACATCATGATCACATTGCACAGCTGAATGGTTATTTCCTGTATCGGTAGCGAATGAGCTCGCTGCTCAACATTCAAATATATGACTAGTGCTTGCCGTAGCAGTTGCAGCTTGCTTCAGAAACCCTCCACCTTCCCAGCTCCACCTGTATAGATCTGCAATGTGGTGATATTATGTATGCTCTATTGGGGTTATTCATATGTGTTATATGTGCAGCAGCAGTATTTCTTACATGTTCACAGCAGCATGTTGTGGATGTATTGGCAGTAGCAAGTCTCTGTATTTGCTCTGCCGCAGCAGCAGCAGTGCCGTTTTTTTACCGTAAATTTTACAGATTTTTTTTTTACAGTGTAGAAACGACATCTGTTTACATGTTTCTTTTACTAATTCAGATGCATTTGCAGTAGTCAGAGCTTTCCTCTTATGAATAAGACTTTAGCTAGAGGGGCATCTGACTGCACATCGCAAATATTGTAATGGAAAAAGATAAATCCTTTATGATTTTAGAGGTGAGCGACTTTGACCTAGATCATAACAGCTGTGCATTAGATGGCCCAGTGAACTCTCTTTACCCCCTGCACTCGAGTCTGTATGCTGGAGTGGGATGAGTGCCGTTTCCACTGGAGCTAATGGACAGAAGAATATGTTTGTCTGAAAGATGTCTACAGACTCACTCTTTCACACCGAGACACCTTTGTCAAACTATTTCTTTTGTTGTCTGACACTCAGTGTCCATCTTGTCTTTTAGCTTCATATCCAACACTGAACATCCCCTAATATACAGTGGCACCCTACTTCAGAATAAACAAATCATTTAGTTCCTGTGTTTATTTGCTGACAGTTCATTACCACATCACGCCTGAGGTCAGTGAAGCCACATCACATCAAAGGTTAATCCTCTCATCTGGTTCAGTTGTAATCTCTCTGTCATATTTAATATTTTCCTAATATTGTCATATAGCGATGAGTCTGGTCGGCAGCCTCATTTACATGGATGTATGTATAATCTGTCAGACTGGGATGTGTAAGCTTCTTATCCGCGCCCTCCACAGCCCCCCTCAGGAGCAGAAGGTGTTTACGAACACACTCCACAGCTCCGTGTGGTAGAAGGTGTTTCTGTCCCAGCATACAAATGATGTTTTTCCCTTTCGGCAGGTGCCCCTCTGGGTGACCTATAGTGCAGTAAATCTGGTGAAATGGGTTCTTGGGGATGAAGGCATGAGAGATTCACAGAAAGATGTCTGGCTCTTAATGGAGTTTATTGATCTGAATCTTCAGTCATATGCATTAAACTGCACGTTGAACATGCCATTGTTAATGTTATTGGTAACGTTACATTGGCTGTGTTTGTTAATAGAGGTGACTGAGTGCATTGATTATTCGGTTGTTATATTATACACTACCACTGTCAGTGTTCTCTCGTTCTCACCAATGCAATAGACATATTTTGTAAAATTGTAAGCGTTTTTTTATTATTATTTTGATCAATTTAATACATTCTTGCATTAATTTAAACATTAATTTCTTAAAAAAAAAAAGACCCAGAACAGTTGTGCTTTTTAATATTTTTGTAAAAACCGTTACATTTTTGTTTTCAGGATTCTTTGATGAATAGAACGTTAAAAAGGACAGCATCAATTTAATGCATACTCATAAATAAAATAATTAATTTCCTAAAAACAAAAAAAACATACTGACCCCAAACTTCTGAACAGTAGTATATATTGCAGGGAGGACAATGATGCGTGTAAGGGAATTGCGATAATGATTAGAACATTTTATGATCCAAAAGAAAAGAAAATTCTGTCAACATACACAAGAACAAATTACTCTTTTCGATTTGGATCTTTTCAATGAATCAGTGGATCCAGTTCACTGAATCAGTCTGAATGATTTGCTCATCAATCAAGACTGATCCGATTCTCAAGTTCACTTGGGTTCATTCAGTGATCCGGTTACAACTCACTGGATTACCATCAAACAACAGCTTAAATTTCAGTGTGTTCCTCACATAAAGCCTGTCAAATATCTTCAGAAGATATAGTGCATGAGTTGTATGAATACCTTTTTATGCTGTTTTTTCTTCATTTTTGAAGCCTTTGTATCCATGGGAACTAATTGTATATAAAAGATTGACTAAAATTCAGGCTTTGAACGAAGTCAGGCTTTGGAACAACATGACGTGAGTAAATGATGACAGAATTAAAATTTTTGGATTAACTATTCCTTCAACACTTCGCGTTGCTTTGATTTCTCTCCCTTGAACTAAATGACCCACCAAAGGGAAAAATCCATCCTCTCTAAGGGATAAGAGGTTGCTTCTGGGACATGTGCATGAACAAAGGCTGATGAATAAAAACATGTATTACATGAAAGATGGATTCAAATGCGCTCTTTCATATTTACATTTTTATAAATATAGGCCACTTTGCTTTTTGAGATGAAACGCATTTGATCATGAGCAAACATAGAGGAGCTGTAGCCTAGCAGTTAGCACATGCTGTGGTGTTCATGTGGGAAAGGCAGATTCACTACTGTCTCTATCAGTTGTATGTAAATAAATAAAAGAAAAGAACATATACAACCAACTATATTCCATTCTAGATCTAATTGCAGCTGGTCTCTCTCCATATCCAGATGTTGCTGGTCAGCTCAATAATTCTGAGCCAAATAATTCAGATGGATTTTTTTTTAAATGCAGCAACTGGAAAATCATCTTTGATTTACCGTCAGTTGATATAGATTTGGAATTACACAAGCTGCAGTTGTTCCCAGCAGCCGGAATTTGCCTGATTTTCCTTTAGAGTTTGTGTTTTTTCTCCATGGACCTACATCCTCTCCTGCATACTAAAGATCTGCAGTCTAATATCAACTTAATGAGCTATCAGAATCAGGCTGCAGGGAGTCATTTATTACAGCTGGCAGAGATCAGCAAGATGGAGTAGTGTGATGTGTAGCGGACTTGAACTTGAAGGAGAAATACTGCAGAGCAGCAGTGCTGCATTAGCAAGACTTTATGTTTGAACGCTGTACGGGTGACAGTTTCTCGTGGATTTCTCCATTAGTATGGGGTATGTGTATCCCAAAGGGCCACTTGGAAAGTTTTTGCTTTGTTAAACCCACGTTGTAAAAAACGGTAGCAGTACAGAGCTATTTCAACTCTTACATTTAGTTTTGTTGTTGTAACGTAATATAATTAGGTTGGTTCACTGATAATTAAAACTATTTTTGACATTAAATTATAGGTTTAAATTAAGTTTAAAATCAATTATGTTAGATGTTTTTGCATGAATTTATTTTTTTCTTCCACTGTATAAAACCAATCTGACCCTATGAGAAACTGTAGAAATGACTAACAACTGTAAAAAAGATAATAAGTTTAACTGTAAAGACTGTAAAACGCTATGGTAAAAAAAAAAAAAAAAACTTGTTTAATGGTAAGTTCACTTAATATTTACAGTAAAAATTACAGTTTTTACTGTATACAGTTTATGAAAGTGAACAAGTCAATTTAAAAATTCTACTGAAAAAAAAAAGTTAATTTGCATTCCCAGAATTCCTTGTGGACACTGTGCATTTGATGTTTATTCTTATTCTCTTATTCTTAGTTTGGTCTTTTTTCTTAACTGTAAATTTAAGTTCAATCTGTAAATCCTAAAATATTACTGCTTTATGTTTTTATGGTAAAATTATGGCAATCGCAGCTGCCTGCATGTTTTTGTTTTACAGTAAACTTCACATTTTTTTACGAATTGCCATGAGAGTGCATTGTATAAAACAGAACAAAAAGATAAAAAATAAAGAAACATGAATTATCTAATATTTTTAACTGCTTCTTTTAATGTGCAATGATAGATTTGTAAAGGAAATCAAATGTAAAAAATAAAAAGTGCATTTTTGTGTGAATGACATTCGTTGCAATATATGTGCAAGTTTGTGAGTACTTCTTGTTATTTATTATATGTGTCTTTAATAATGTTAAATTATTAAGTTATGTCAAAATCTGAACACATTACTGGTTCGATGTTAATTAAGGGATTCTTGATCCATACTAAATAGCCTGTGGGGTTTTGTAAGACAAAAAAATACAAATAAACAAACAATAATGTCTAGGAAACGCTGTCTTAAACATTAAGATATTAGGGAGAGCAGATATACAGGATGACTTTGTTGGTGCTTTATATCAATATTTGATTTGATGATCAAAAATTCATAAGCAATCCTTTGTGTGTGTTTCCTCTGAAGAGCTGGTGTGTAACTGCAGTGGTGAAGGAGTGTCGGACCCTGACGAGTGTGACCGTGAGACGGGTCAGTGTGACTGTATGCCGGGTTACACTGGGCTGCAGTGTGACGAGTGTGAGGAAGATCACTTCACCAACGGCACCATCGGCTGCCTGCCCTGCGCATGTGACTCCTTCGGTGCCGACAGCTCCAGCTGTGACAGGTGAGAGGCATTGTGGGAAAAATGCATTCTTATGTGTCTTGCTATAGGAGTTAACTTGTTTGGACAGTTTGCAGATTTACAAAAGTAGACAACAAAAACAACAGAAACATTTCTTATTGTTATTTTTAGGATATATATATATTTTCATAAATAGAAAGATCGAAAGAACAGAATTAGAAATCTTCTGTAATGTTATAAATGTCTTTACTGTCACTTTTGATCAATTTAATGCATCCTTGTTTAATGGAAGTACTTCTTTCTTGTATATAATTTATATATTACAAAAAAGGTACTACATAGGGTATCTGCTCAGCCATTTACAAATATGTATGAAATTACAGTTTTTACAGCAACTTCCATTTCTTCCAGCAGCTCTGAAATAATTATTTTTAAGCCTTAAATTATGAAACAGTTTTCACTATTTCTTTAACAATTGATGTAATTTATGTCAATTGTCCTTTTAAAACAGAACCATGGACTAAAATACTTTCTACACGATAAATCTAATTATAATTATTACACACTAACTTGATCTCTATCTTTCAAAATTTTTTAGATTAAAAGTAACATTTGCTTTATTTATTAATCATTTTTAGCTTTGAGAATGTTCTCCTCAGAGGAATATTTTAGTCAGATTTAGCTAATTTTCTCCCTAAAGTATATAAGTAAACAGATAATCAGGCAGATTAGCTTAATCCTGTATTGTTTCTCTCACCCAAAACCTTGAGGACGTTTCAGTTTCCCGTTGGCATATTTCTCCTGTGCTTTAATTGTTTAGTAGGTTTACAGTGAGGTATGCTGAGTATTGCCAGTTTGAGCCTAATTAAATGACATTCCCTGCAGGGAGCAGATTGTTGTGATCCTGGCTTTGTTTTGGGACAGGGGCGCGAATTAAGCCTGAATTTTAACATATCTTTCAAGACGAATGTACAGTTTTGTTGGCTACAGTTGAGAAAATGAAGCAATATGTGAACTGCAGCATATCGGATGCTTCAGCCTCACACTATGAAGGTCATATTTTATGATCTGTTTTATACCTTCTCAAAAAGCACCGAAGCATTAGCTCTCATATATTGTCACACTGGAGAAATAGTTGATGTCTAGATATTCAGGTGGACCACCATATTTTAAATCGGTAATAAAGCTTTGATGTTGTGTGATCTTTGAAATGAAGCTTCTAATAATAATTCTCATTATACTGTACTTGGAAAGTTAGAGTTTTGTGTGTGGAATCACTGGTCTGCTGAGGCCGGTATCCTAGAGCTCCTCAGGGAAATTATAACAGCCAATATGAATCCAGTGCGTATTATGAATTCTTATATTAGCATATCCTAATGGCCGTATCAAAACCGAACATGCAATGCTTTTTTGTTCTTCAGTACACTGTAAAAAATGATTGTGATTTTTTTCAGTAAGTTTCCATACTATATACAGTGAATAAATGCAATTACATTTCATGTAATTTTACAGTAAAATACTGTTAAAAAATAATTTTTTTGGAAGTGAAAAAGAAAAAGTCATTGTATAATTTACAGTGAAAAACCGTAAATTGACACTCTCAGAATTCCCTGCATAACACTTCATATTTGATGTTTTTTTGTTGAAATAACTGTTTCTTCTTCGTTTTTTCTTATTAGATGTGTACATTAGGGTTTTATCTTACATCTAATGTTGTTAAATTAATGTTATTGCATTATTTCAGTATCATGTTACCATGATGGTGTTAAGTGTTTGTGTGAATGAGATTGTGTACCTTCTATATAAAAGTATTGCCCTCCTCAGCTCGTAGAAAAGCTGTTTTGTGATGAGCTTTGGTTCATCATGTGACTTTCTCATCACCACCGGTTTTTGGTGGTTATCAGTGCATTGCAATGGTTCAAAACAGATATTAGTACTTCAATATGTTGGTTTATTAATATTACATCAGTTAATGAAATACGGTATTTTATTGTGAATTTAAGTTAAGTCTATAAAACCTAAAATGGTGCTACCATATTTTTTTTTATGGTGAAGTTCTGGCAACCACAGCTGCCGGTATTTTACCGTAAATGTCACAGATTTTAGTTTTTACAGTGTAGAGATTAGCTTCCCATATTGCCCAAGTTAAGGTGCATCTACACATTTAAAATTACTTTTGTGATGTACAAAAATTGTATGGACATTTCCTATAGGAGAGGATTATATTATTTTAATCTTACAGGACTGATTTAACTAGTATGGGAGCTAAATCGTCAGTTCTACATCTCCATTATTAGCACTTAATTTTACGACATTTGCTCTTGAATGGGATTATATTCCCTGTTTATAAATTTTAACATTTGTAAATGAATACTGACATTGTCCCTTTACCGTCACTTGTAGCATACTATTGCATACTTTTAAAAATAATAATAAAAAAGTAATTATGGAAATTATATTAGAATAATTACATGTATTATATGTATTATGTAGCTATAAAATTTATTACAGTTATTGTTTTCAAATTTATATTAAGTGCAGCTAGCTGAACTTTAGAGAGTTTTTTGACCCAAAAAAGTACACTGTAATATTTTTTGAAGGTATAAATTGAACAAAGATTATTCTAGTATAATTTACAAGAAAATACAATTTCAGTCATTCTACTTAAAAATGTAATATGCAATTCAGAGTGTTGCCGTTTCTTTGTAATTAAGCAATTTCTGAGTAAAAAATATTTCTAAACCAAGTACAACTTTATATATAATTTCATAATTACTTCTATTGAAGTATGGTTAAAGTGTACTGTTGAATGTACTGACAAACATTTATGGTAAACTAAAATATACGTTAATGTCAATATTATAGAAACTTGTGTCATGTATTAAAATCTAATTTATTAAAATGTAATTAAACATTTGTAACGACGAATTTGCAATTTACTACATTTAAAATATTAACTTTAAATGTAATACTTAATAACACATTACAGTTATAATATTATAATCATGTACTTTACATGTGATTTTAGTATATTAGTCAGCACATCAAAATAAGTGTACGTGTTTAAGTAACAACAACAAAAGATTGCTAAAACATTATGATTTCATATGTGCTTTACATTTACATTTACATTTAGTCATTTAGCAGACGCTTTTATCCAAAGCGACTTACAATTGGGGGATACATAAAGCGATTCTTCTTAAAGAGGCAAACAGACACAGGAAGTGGTTGTAATACCAAGTTCTTAGACATTGTTCAAATAAGTACAAGCTAGAAAGAGAAGGAATAAATAAAGGGAGGGATGGTTTTTTTTTTTTTTTTTTTTTTTTATTTATTTTTTTTTTTTTTATGAAGTCAAGTAGCTTCGAAAGAGATGGGTTTTCAGCTGTCGCTTGAAAATTGTCAGGGATTCAGCATTCCGGATAGGGGTGGGAAGATCGTTCCACCAAACAGGAGTGGTGAACGAGAATGTTCTGGAAAGTGATTTTGAGCCTCTCTGTGATGGTACCACGAGGCGTCGCTCACTAGCGGATCTTTAAAAAGCTTTAAAGTAAAACTTTTCATTTGACATTATTTCAAAAAGGAAACTTAAGTCTGGAATGGACAAATACACAAGCAGTACAAAGTCTCACTCCAGTAGCGCTGCTCAGCCAATCAGATTGAAGGACTTGAATATACTGTTCTATAAAAACCCCAAATCAGTCACCAATTAGCATACATTGCATACCAAAAATATAGAGTGTTGTGTGATTTAAGTCAGTAAAGTATGATGCAAGTGAAGGTTTCCACAGCATCAGTTGCTTAGAAACCAGATCTTTCATGTATTCTTCCCCCTTTAGGAAAACATTGAAGTCTTTCACTTTGAAAGCATCAGGCGAGGATAAGAGCAGCCCAGTTCCACGGTTGTCATGGATGTGAAGGATGCAGGCAGGAGAATGATGCTGGCATCTCCATGGCAGCAGAGAGAGCGCGAGGGAAGGGGGGTCCAGTCGTTGTGTAACACTGACCTAGTTAATATGCAGCTGATCTGCCCCAGGGTCTCTGAAACCTTAATGAGCTTTCTGCTACAGCGGCCTGCTCAACGCAGTTAGTCTCTCTGAAAACACACTCGTACACACACATACACAACCAATCCAAATGATTAAGGAAGCCCCTGGTGATGGTATTATGATATATTAAGTGTCAAGCCGGCAGTGTTGGAGTGCTAAAAACTGGCTGTGCTGCCTGATGCTGGTCCATTTTTGCTTTTATTTGATCAAACGACATTTTAGTGTGTGGATTATAGGGGTTACAAATGAAACAAGCACAGTCACTCATGAGTAATTAAATTCAGTTTTATATTAATTCAGTTTTATATTAATTCCTCAATCTCCAATTATTAAATTCAGTTTCATTTTTCATTAATTCACAATGTGATCCTAATTAAACGTTACTTTAAATGTCATGTATATTATAATGAAATAAGTATTAAATAAGTATTTTAACTTATAATTTTAACTTGTAATTTTTTTTAATGTTTTTGAAAGAAGTAACTTACAGTATGCTTACCCATGCTTCATTTATTTGATCACAAATACAGAAGGAAATGTAATATTGTGAAATATTATTACAATTTAAAATGACTCTTTTCTATGTTAATATATTGTATAATTTAATTTATTTCTGTGATGCAAAGCTGAATTTTCAGCATCATTACTCCAGTCTTCAGTGTCACATGATCCTTCAGAAATCATTCTAATATGCTGCTCAAGAAACATTTATTACTATTATCAATGTTGAAAACAGATGTGCTGCTTTTTCCCCACTCAGAATTGTTTAATAAATAGAAAGTTGAAAATGGAAAATTGAGGCTGTGGGAATACCCATAATTCCTTGCACTTGAATAATTTTACCATGTACCTCAATTTATTTCACATGCAGTAGTATTTTAATTTCTTTTGATTATTATTATAGCTAATATTTTAATATGCTAATATTTTGTTATTTAATTTAATTTAATTTCAAGGCTTGAAAATGTTTATTGTGAAATGTGCCGTGAGTCT